TCTGTTCTTTATAGCTTTCCTAGACTATTTAAATTCCTGCCAGAGCCTGGCATAGAGAAAGAAAAACAAATCTCAGAACTGAAACAGTCTTAGAAATTACTGAGACCAGATCACTTCAGGTAATGACTTTCCAGTGGCTCTTCAAGGTTCAAAGAAAAGTTTCAAGATTATTTCACTGGTGCTAAACAGCAAGCTTTCAATGCTGCAACACACACAGATACCCTGCAATCCTGAAGAATAAAATTACCTCCTCTTTCACTCTTCACCCACAATCTCCAGTCTCTCACATAAAATCTCAAGATCTTATTCTTCTGCACTACTGCCTACAGTTAAGTTCTAGCAGATTGTAGCTGCAAGTACATGTACATGCAATTTATTAGTCTTCTGCCTGTGACTCAGCAGACAGATGGCATCTCAGTACTTTCCATCCTCAAGCCATATTATCCACAGTCCACCTCAGTGGTCCTAGTTCAATTGAACCACCATCATCAGCAATCTCTTGAATAGAAACAAGCCTTGTACACCCAAGAACACAGGATTTCCTGAACCACATCAGAACAGTCACTAGTCAAGACAATAACCATCAGGAAAAAAACCCTAAAAAAATAATAAAGCAAGGAAAAGCACGATGCAATGTGGATCTGCTATTATTTAGTTATGTGATAGCTTTCCCAGACAGTTCCTTTCTAGCTCAAAATGTGTGGACTTTCTCATAATAGAATGGTTCATGACTTCTATCAAACCTTTCATGTGGAAGGTCACTGACTGTCCATATAGAAAAGAAGGCACTTTAAGCCTGAAACAAGGTTGGGAGACCTCTGTGGCACAAATGTACTTTCTGTTACTTGAAGAGAAAGTATCAGATCTTTGAACAGTTGCAGTATGTCTATACTAAGACCAGCTAGAAATTATCTACCAAGTTCTACTACAAAACCAATTCTTTCAGACGTATTCAATCCTACTGTTTTCCAGAAAAACAAAGGCACAGAGTGGGGACAGCTTTCTTTGATACCTGTATTATTGAGAATCTAGAGTATCCTCTCAGGATGTTCTTGGATCATCACCCCTACTGAAATTACATACATATACTTGGGAAATGCTCCTTCAGTGCAGGACAGAACAAGTCCTGGGGACACAGAATAAAGAACATCACTTTCTGACCCTGTCAATAACGTTAAGCAACATGAGGTTGAAGGCCATGCAGCCTGACTTAGGGAAGGAAGGACAGCTGCATAAATCACATCAGTCATGCACGACAACTGAGTGTTCTGGGGAATAAGCCATATGAAGTAGGTAGGCAAGGGAAAAGAAAAGAAGGCAAAGAGAAGGTAGAAAAAAAAAAAAATGAGGTGCCCAGGAAGGCAGACAAACACAAACTGGTAGGAGAAAAAAGATCTTACGTAAAGCAAATGAAAAGACTTTGAGGTAGTTGAATATGCAAGATACAACTGACAATAAGAGAAGGGAAGACCACACTAGCTAAAAAGCTTAAGACAAACTAGATTAAAAATAATAATAAAATAAAATGACAAGAGGAACACTCGAATGGAAGAATGCAAATACAAAAAACAGGAAATCAAAGTACATGGCAAAGTCCTGAACTCTAGCACATTCCTTTTCATATCTGGAAACGGGACTCCTGATTTTGGCTCATTGTTTGTTAGTTGACCGATAATATTTATGAAATAAATTCAATATATACAGCCAAATTTGTCTTTTGATTAACTGTACACATTGACAGAACCATCAACTACAACTAATGGCACACTGGCCTCAGTATTTCCTGTGCATGGATCCACGTATACGTGGTGCCACTGGAACAGCCTAACTTCACCCTTCATTTTTTCTTCCAAAAAATAATACATTAATGCAAAAATAAAAATAAAGAAAAAAAAGGAAAAAAGTCACAACTAATTTCAGCAAGAACATGCAAATCACACTGCACACCACTGGCCTCTGTGATGCCCTTATATCAGCTGCTCAGGAAGCTGAAAGAAAGGACCTCTATTAAACAAGTTAATACAGTCCAAGATTTAAATTGCACAGTCAAGACTAAATTAATGCAGTTACTTGAACCAGAGTTTATCTAGATGGGATGTGTAACACAGACCATTCTTAACTGCCTAGTAACTATTCTCAACAGAGCAGAAAGAAAATGGAAGCAGCTAGTTTCTACTTTTAGCACTTTTCTTCTGTGAGCTTTCTTCAGGAACTGTGATGATGGTATATCCATCATTCAAGTACTTGACTTGTGAGTTTTTAATCACACTATCTTTAACGGTCCATAGGAAGTACGGTGAAGAGAAGAAAGTTAGACTTCAAATACTTAGTCCCATTTTTTTGTGGCAGATTGTTAATCATGGTATTTCAACACCTGAATGACCAGTTTCATTTCTTTTTATTATTATCTTCAGCAGACAAGCCAAAATACAGAAATATACATTAGTGCTTTAAACTTCAAGAAAATCTTAGTTGGACATACATAACAGATCTTATGAACCATTCATTTTTACATTATCCTACAGTTTAAGGCTCAGCTTGCCTTGAAGGAACTGAGGTTTCTCAATTTTAACATGCTCAGAGCTCTCAGGTTTGCACACAACCTAAACCATGTTTCAGGTTGACTTTCCAAATGGCTGATTTCAACTATTAGATCAGGAACTCTGAAAGCTTAAAATACTCAGACAGCAAACACTGTATCTGACACATCAAGATGGCTATCCCATTTCACTCAATAGACTTGGCTTGCTTACCAAAAACGCATGTGGCAAGTACAAGCGAGTAAAAAGAGTTATTCTTCCTTTCCATTAACTTACAAACAAGACAAAGCATTCATTTAATCACCGAAATAAGAAACAAGTAGTAACACATTTAAAGAAACAACCTCCATAAGCAGTTAGCATTCAATCTCTAATTGTAGCTTAAGAACTCTACCCCCATGAACACTTTGTATCATATCCTTTTTCTCCAAATATGTGCAACAAGGAGAACACATGAACAGTGCAGAACACAGTAGGCAGATTTGACTAAGTATGACTATTGTATGCAGACAAATTAATACTATGCTTTGAAGGAAAGAAACCACAAAGTATATAAGTTAGTGTCAATGCATAGGTAAAGATCTTCTTCCTGCCCAGATAAAGTTTCAGTGAAAATATTATTTCAAATGGCAGTTAAAAAAAGCAAGCTACCATGCTTGGAGCAGTATGTTTTGACATTATAGGAATTAACGTAATTGAAATCCACTGGAAATTTATCCAAGAAAATGAAAAGAATCTGAAATGTGAAAAGCAAGTTAAAATCAGTAGTCTCCCTTTTTATTTTAGCTGCTTCTGAGACAGCTTGCTGTAGCAGTAACATTTGTATCTGCCAAATGTATTTTTGCAAGAAGCGAAGTATGATTTCAACACAAATATATTCATTGGAATTGCCTTTATTTTACTGTCCTATTACTAATACTTGCTGAATGATGATTTCTTCCCATCTCCTGAGGAATTCGGATGGCTTTAACTTCAAGCAATTCTCAGTGATAGGGGTTTGATAGTGAGGAAGTAAATGCAAATTCAACTTCTTACGCAAAAGCTGAACCATTACAACACTCAAGTTATATCTGCAAAATTTTTGGTGTTTTGTTGGCCAAGCCCATCATTCTTCTTACAAATGGGAAATTAGCTAAAACAAGAGGTTTCTGAGAGGAAGCTACTCAAAGAATTAACCTGCTTTTTCTATGCCAATTCACAAAATAAATCAATTTCTTCACACTCTGCAAAAAGACACCCCAAACAGATTCTCTTAGCCAGTTAAACGCACGAGTTGTTATGCTAGAAGAGGCGATGAACTACTACAAAATTAATCACACATAGACAAGTAAAAAAGAAAGCAGCCAGTAAGGTTACTTAGGAACACATATGCTACTGCCCACTACTTCAGCAAGGATAGAAGGCTTACACTACTTGTGCTTCTCCCATTTCTCTACAAAAAACAAACAAAAAGCCACTAACCAAACAAACAAAACAAAGCATTTCTACCCCCTCAGGGATCAACAGCACAAATGATGATAATAAACATGTTTCTGCCAGCTATGTTTTTCTTACAAGATCATCTTGTCACATAAGGAACGCGATGACATCAGATTACATTCTCGTAACTCAAAAGATAGCATCTTTAAATATGATTACTATCCTTATAAATACATTTACTTTTGCATGTGATGTTAAGCTTTAAAACAGACTCACTAAGCAGGTTTATCCACCACCACCAATCAGCTTTTGCATGTTCCCAGACACACTGGGAAATAGACAATTACAGCATTACAAAAAGGACCTGAGATCAAGCCTTGGACAAAACAGTCCTAAAAATAAGTCACATGAATTGTATTACAACTGGACATGTCTGAGCCATCTCACTTTCAGTTCAACAACAATCATACATCATGCACGTGTACAGAAGCATAAACACGTGCAACCTAATACAACTTCAAAGGAACACAAAACAGAGGAATACTAGCAATAAAGTAATGCTACATTACGTAATTCTAAAGAAAATAGCAAATCATGCATACACAAAAATACAACTGCAATCAATAACTTCTACTTCTTGTTTTACACCTTTGCTATTCAGATCTCCAGCACTCATCAATGCTTCTAAAAAGAGTTTTCGCACACTGCCAGACAGTCAAAACAGCCAAAAATCCAGAAAGGTAGCTACCATAAACCATACACTCGTGTACAGAATGTTTACCGGTTTTAAGATTGAAACCATCGTAACACACATGAAGCACAAATCATTAGTTTCTCCATTCTTAATTGGATTCAAATTTAAGCATTTGGAAGGCTAAGTTGTCTCTTTCTTAAAAGCAAATAATTGCCTTCTGAAAAAATAGAAGGCCACAGGTATCTGAAACTACCAAAGTCATTCTAAAAAAGAATATTAACCTGATTCCAACTTTCAATCAAACACATGGAACTATTAATTCAGAATTACTGATGATGACTCCTTACCTTCAATCCTTTTCAAGGCTGACAGGCAAGTATCCCGACTTGGAAATTCAAATGGATTATTACAGGTCCGAATGGTGTCACATTCGCATTTCCCGTTGATTATGTTACAACCTGTTATAAGGTTTTCATTGCATGGCTCAAATCCAAGGAGCTGGTCATCATCCCAGTTTTCATCTAAAATAAACAAGCAGAGAAACTCACTATTGATTTCAGTTACAGTATATAAATTCAGCTGCTTTGGGGTCAGGTGCAATTTATTTCAAATTTAACATTGAGCTAAACAAGATAAGACTCCAAAAGAATGGATTAATCTAAACGATAAGATTTGCCAAATATTGTGCTCCACAGCTGTTCTACTGCCCATTTTGTCCCAGTTACTGGCATTGTTTACTTCAATCTGCATGAAAAACTGTCACATCTTGGGAAAAAGCATAGCTGTAGTACAAATGAGTGCTATTGTAAACAAAATAACTTCTACAGATACTTAGAGTTATATTTATCATGGAAGTGAGAATGTTGGAGAGAACCCGCAGCTGTTAGAGAAGTCAATACTAAGTTAGAAAGAGAGCATAATTAAACAAGTTTTAAAAATACATCATATAGAATTCACTCCATAGAGATCACTTCTTACTTCAAAAATACTGCAAGATGTCAGGCCTTTGATTTTGTAATATGACCAAAAGCGAGTTTCCCAGCACCCCTGAACAACCATTATCATTCCAGGAGAATTGTTCAAGCACATTCTGCTCCTTGCTGTCAAGTGAAAGGGGAGTGTAGCAGAGCTAGAATGCATCTCTTTGCTCTTTCAAAAGAGTCTGATGTATCTGTTAATTCTCACATTTCTACTGTACAATTGTCCATTACTTCTCTGGTTACATGCAGTGAGGCTATTTTCCCTTCTCCAAAATGGAGTTCAATCTATCCACAATTCTGCTGTGACTGCAGGTTCCACAAAATCTCAGCTCCTTGGATCAACGGTACATACAGCAACACCCAACAGACTAAAAAACTTAAGCAAGACATATACTTCTAGGCATGAGGGATTTTTAGTTGTTGCATGCTAGATAATTTTCCAACCTGTCCAGGCTACCAAATCAAGTACTATAAAATATGGTATATAAGTACTATAAAAATGCTCTGCTGACTTCTAGATGCATCTCATAGTCCTGAGGGAATTAACTAATGTAGTTGCCAAGCCTCTCTCAATGATATTCAAAAAGTCATGGAAATCAGATGAAGTCCCTGGAAAAAAAGACTGGAAAAAAGGTAACATCACACCCATTTTTAAAAAGGATGATCTTGGGAAATATCAACCTATCAGTCTCACCTCTGTGCCTGGGAAGACCAAGGAACAAGTCCTCCTAAAAGCTATGGAAGGCATGTGCCTTAAAAAGACAAATCCTGCTTGATCAACCATGTGGCCCTCTATGATGGTATCACTGCATCATTGGAAAAGGAAAGAGCCACTAATGTCATTATTTTCTCCACTTCAGTAAGGCCTTTGACATAGTACCTCACAACATCCTTCTCTCCAAATTGGAAAGACATGGATTTGATGGAAAGACTGTTCGATGGACAAAGAACTGGCTGCAGGACAAAGTGCAGTGGTGATGACTCAATGTCTGGTGGAGATTGGTGATGAATGGTGACCCCCAGGTGTCAATGCTGGCACTGATACTCCTTCATATCTTCATCAATGACACACTCAGCAGGTTTGCTAATGACACCAAACTGTGGGGTGCACTCAACACACCAGAGGGATGTGACGCCATCCAGAGGGACATAGGCAGGCTTGAGCAGCAAAAACAGGCGAACCTCATGGGATTCAGCAAGTCCAAATGCAAGGTCTTGCATGCGAGTGGATGCAACCCTCACTACCAATACAAGCTGGGGGATGAGAGGATTGAGTACAGCCCTACCAAAAAAGTCCTGGGAGTACTGGTGGATGGGAAGCTGGACATGAGCCAGCAATGTGCCCTCACAGCCCAGAAAACCAACTGTACCCTGGGCTGCATCAAAGGAAGTTTGTCCAGCAGATTGCGGGAGGGGCTCCTCCCACTCTACTACGCACTGCTGAGGCCTCACCTGAGTACTGCATCCAGATACAGAGTCCTCAGTACAGGAAAGACATTAGACCTGCTGGAGCATATCCGGAGGAGGGCCACAAAACTGATCCATGGAATGGAACAACTTCTACAAGGACAGGCTGAGAGAGCTGGGGCTGTTCAGCCTAAGAGAAGAGAAGGCCCCAGTGTGACCTGAGAGCAGCCTTTCAGTATCTAAAGGGGAACTACAGAAAAGAAGGGGACACTCTGTAGCAGGATCTGTGGTGACAGAACAAGGGGAAATGGTTTCAAGCTCAAAGGGGGTAGATTTAGGTTAGATATAAGGAAAAAAGAAATCTTTTACAGTGAGGGTGTTAAGGTGCTGGAAGAGGCTGCCCAGAGACATTGTTGATGCACCATCCCTGGAGACTTTCAAGGTGAGGCTGGATCAGGCCCTGGGCAATTGTGGTGTTCCTGTTCATTGCAGGGGAGTTGGACTAGATGGCCTTCAGAGATCTCTTCCAACTCTAAGGATTCTATGATTCTAAAACTATTTTCAAACTCTACATCAATCTATATTCCACAGCAGCTTTCACCTTGCAGTTTCTAGTAGTTCAACCCAGATTTATATACTATCAACAAGCGAGTTTTCAACAGGGATCCTGCTAAGAAACACTTTAAAAAAGCTGAAACATCTTCCAGCTACAAAGCATTGTTGTTGCTCAGGTTTGTTTAAAAATAAGACAGGGATTGAAATATACAGTTTACAAACATTCCCTGCTTGCAATATTTAGGAGTTTTCATGCTGAAACAGAGTTTTTTGGAGAAGTAAATGACAAAATAACCTATCCATACTGACAAGAGAACCCCTGCAGAGCACTCCTCTATTTTAATGAAAGAAGGGGCAAACACGGCATTGTCCAACTGAACAAGCTGCATGGCAACACGTGCAATGACGCAGATGGTTGTACTGCCATGTTTCTGTTCAGAACACATCACTCCAGACTCTGACCCAGACATGTTTGTCAGTCAAACAAGCAGGCATGCTGAACAGGCTGGGCACTCAGCTGACTCCAGAGTGCAGCAGCTGCTTTTGGACCAGGCACTGAGCACTAGCCATGCCATCAGCCAAACCTGCTGACCCAGGCACTGTTGACAGAGAGGGAAGCATTAGTTCTTATCTACACTTATGCATTGTTCAGAAGGAACATATGTCCTCAGCTGACTCGTGTCCCCTCCCTACACAGTTCCACTGACAAGAAGAAATGAAGACTAGATTAATAGATTCCCGTTAAGCAATTCTTAGTCCCAGATAGCCTGTAAGCTACACCTTAGAGTGAGCATCAGAAGCTGCCCTTCAGCAAAGCAGACTGCAGCCAAACATGAACTGTTTTGTTATTCAGCAGTCTGACACTGAACTAAAGCCTAAAAATTGATAGCAAATACACACGCTGAAGTTGATGTGTAAACACTTTCTGCTCAGAGAGATGTGCAGAGTGTCAGTTAGCCTGTCTGTTTGGGGAAAAACAAATAAACAAAAAGCAACAAAAAAAAATCCCACACCTCTATACAACCAATACCTGGAAATCACAAAGAGGTTTTTTTTGGTTGGTTGGGTTTTTTTTCTAAAAACCAATTAAAGCTAAGTGGATGATCTAGAGAGAGCATCACAGCAGCTTCTCACCAGCATGTTTCTCCCTCTATATCCAGCTACTTATTATTTGTTAAAAGTCAGCAGAACACCATTCTGGCAAAGAACACCAAATAAACAACCAATTTTAGACATGAAGGAGAGAGCATCCATGGGAATCTCATGGCTGTTTTACTCCATAAAAATAGCCACGGAAGAATAGTCATTAACTCCAGGAAGTAATTTATTAAGTTGACCAATCACCCCACAGAGCAAGAGTATCAATAAAAGTCAAAGGAAGCACAGAAGTTCACAAAGAGAAATTATTGAAATTCCTTCAAGAGAAGGTGCAGATTCAGTAGTTTTCGGGATGCTTGCATGATTATGAGGCCAGGCATGCACAAGGAAAAAAACACTGGGAATTTTGAGAACAATAATATATCCTGTTTTTGAGGAGCCGGAATACAGCTTGGACAATTTGTATGTTACAAATCACAGCAGTAATCCACGTAACAAGAACAAAAGAGGCAATAGCTGTGCTTTAAAATTCAGCATGCCAAATTCTGTATCAGACCACAGCTTCATCCAAATCAGACTGTTTAATGGTCTTAAGAAAAAGAATTGTTCTAGTTGTTTGCTGAATTGTTCCCTGTTTCTGACACACAGGATCTCATCCTCTGCCTGTTTGTAGATCAGGAGCCCAGACCCCCACAAGGGCACGGCCATCTGTACTCATGACTGCTGGGCCTCTAATGCTCAGCTTCCTGAGCTGCTCTCTCCCACCAGACTCTGGAAATCAGTTCTGTGCAGATAGATGGGACATAGATTACGATAGCAGCACACTTTTTGCTTTTCAAACAATCCAGTTCATGGCATTTGTGAATTTTTGCCCTATGGCATTTCAGCAATCAATTTTTCAGAGAAGAACAGAAGCTGCAAGCAGCAGAGTCCCTGTTATGCTGCTTGCCCCAGGTGAGAAGTGACTCACCTATGAGTGCAGTGAAAAGCAGAGCAGTCCTCTACTCACAAATGACCGTTTTGATGCAGATGCATCAGAAACCTTGGAACTATCCACAGTATTATCTGTTTCCATTATGGATGTTTGATATCTGCCAACTCTCATGGATTTTCAGGAGGAAGCAGAAAAGCATACACATAAAGTGCCTGGCCCAGTCCTAGGTGTACTTAAGTCATCAATACCACACCCCTCAAAAATGAGCTCAATAGTCTTTAAAAGAAGAGAAGAGAAGAGTAATCCCCAAGGAATGTTTGCATGCAACATCTGATGTAATTACTCATGAACCAAGGTATTTTTCATTACTGCAAGTAAATATTAAAAAGTCACATCCATACAGGAATAATAAACCCAGTGTTAGCTTAAGCATCTCTTAGCAGACTGCTTTTCACACATTTCAGTTTAGAAAACATGGTTTCCATCAATGCAGTAGCAAATGTGTAAGAAAAAAAAGTTTACTGTAGTTTAGTAAATCCATGCAAGC